CTGAATGTAAATGGAGTCTGAGTTCTTCTCAATTAGAATGCTCCTGCCTGACACTAATCAACTGGAGATGGCATTTGAGATGAAATATATTTGCCCTTGTTCTATGGGGAAAGTAATTTCCCACGGTATTGGGCTGTCTGGAAAGTCATGATGCATTTTTGCATAGGAAAACTTTTCCGACAACCCAATATTTGAAGGTAGTGATAGGACTAAAACAGTGGTTCTCGATAGGGTGAGGAGGACAGTTTTGCTTCCCAGGGGTATTTGGCAGTGTCTGGAGACATTTTCAATTGTCACAAACTGGGGCACAGAATAGGTGCTTCTGGCATCTCGTGAGTAGAAACCAAGGATGCTGCTGTTCATCTTACAGTGTGCAGGGCAACCCCGTCCCTCCTCCACAAAGTCCAGTCCAATAAACAACCCAATTTAAAAATGGGCAAAAGACTTAATGGACAGTCCTCCAAAGAAGATATGCAAGTGGCCAATAAGCACATGAAAAGATATTTCACATCATTAATCACTGGGGAAAATGCTGAGCAAAACTACCAACCTGCTGGTGCAGTCCTTGGCGTGCTGGACTGCAGTGCTGGAAGCCACGTGGCTGACTGATCTGGATCCCTGGGTTGGCCTGAAAACACCCCCCACCACAAGGAGTTAGAGGGCTGGAGAAAGGGATCACAGTGCGACGAGACCCTGACAAGGGTGCTTTCTCTCTCTCTCATGCTTCCACACTGTGAGATGCCAAGTCATACCCATTACGATGGCTACTATCAAAAAAACCCCCCAGAAAATAGGGACCAGCAGTTGGCGTAATGGCTACGTCGCTGGACTCCCATGTAATCTACTGGGGTTCGAGTCCCAGACCTGGTGGCTTAAACTCATGCCGGGAGCATGTGTGTGCAGGCCCAAGATCCCATGAGGAGAATGGAGGAGAGGGGATTGTGGCATGGCCATCCTTCCTGGGGGAGTGATTTCTCGCTTTCTGTCTCTCTCTGTCTTTCTGGCGAGTGCATGTGCCCTATAGCAAAAACCTCTCAAAAAACAAAAACAAAAACAAACAAAAAACCAAGTGCTAGTGAGGTGTGGTGAGCCCCTTCATGTTGCTAGTGGGAACGTCCGTGGACTGTAGCCATTTTACATGGGAAACAATATTACGATTCCTCAAAGTAGTGAAACCAGAATTACCTGATCTAGCACTTCCACTTCTGGGTAATATACTCCCAAAGAATTGAAAGCAGGGTCTTGAGCTAGCTGGTGGCTAACTGTGCAGTTTGAGTCCTGGACCCAAAGGCTTGAAAAACACTTCCAGGCGTGTGTGCCCAAAATCTTGAAAGGAGGAAGAAAGGATTATGGCATGACTATCCCCCATGCTTTCTCACTTTCTCTCTTTCTCCCCCAGTGAGAACAAACTACCAAAAAAAAAAAAAAAAAAAAAAGAAAGAAAGAAAGAAAAGCAAAGCAGAGATTTAAGTGGGGTCATTTGTACACCCATGCTTGTGTCAGCATTGTTCACAACTAAAACGTGGAAGAAATCCAAGTGTCTACCCAAAGAGGAATGGATAAGCAAAAATGGAATATTATTCTGCCATATGCTACGACATGGGTGAACTCTGAGGACAATATGCTAAGTGTTGTCACAGAAAGACAAATATCATATATAATTCTACTTACACGAGATGCTTAGAGTAGTCCAACTCATACGGACAGAAAGTAGAATGGCAGTTGCCAGGTCAGGGAAGGGAGGAAGGAAAGGGAGTTATTGTTTAAAGGGTACGCTTCAGTTTTTTTAAGAAAAGAATTATTTATTTAATTTTATTAATTATTATTATTGCTATTATTATTTTAATTTGACCAGAGAGAGAAAGGGAAAGGGAAAGTGAGAAAGCAAGTCATCAGGCTTGGGACTCAAACCATAGTCTGCCATGTGGGAGTCGAACACCTTAACCACCACACCACCTGACAGTTTCAAGAGTTTTAGTTTTACAAAACAAAAGAGTTAGGGAGATGGATGTTGATGCTGATTGCACACCATCATGAATATGTTTACTAATATTGACCTATAACTTAAACATGGTTGTAAGATGGTCAATTTTATATGTTTTTTGCCATACGCAAAAAAAAAAAAAAAGAAAGAAAGAAAGAAAGAAAGAAAAAGAAATGGGAAAAAAAATTACTGAGCCTCAGGTGTGAAGGTTAAATAGCCCTGAATGAAAAGGGCTCTGCTGTGGGTTCATCTAGTCTTCTGCATCTCCTCCAAGATGAGTTATATGCTATTTTGGGGAAAGAAATAAGGAACTATCTTGGGAAGTTCTAGAATGGTGGTTCTCACCCTTGTCTGCAGAGTTCTTTAAGTCCAGGGCTTCTCAAAGTCTCCCCTGGGGATCTTTTAAGAAACCTAGGGCCGTATCAACTGGTGGTATAGTGGTTAAGGCAATGGACTTCCACAAGGCTGACCGTGGTTTGAGGCCTGGTGGCTTAAAACTCAAGCTAGGTAGGTGTGTTCCCAAAATCCCAAGTGGAGAATTGGGGAGAATGGAGGGCTTGTGGCATGCTCATCCCTCCTGGAGGATAATTTCTTGCTTTCTGTCTCTCTGTCTCTCTTTCTGGCGAGTGCCCATGCCCTATAGCAACAATCTCTCAGAAACATACCATAGACTGATTGCATCAGATCTCTTGGGTGGGAGCCAAACATCAGGAATTTTTGCAGTGCTCCAGGTGATTCCCGTGTGCATCTGAGGTTGAGAATAATCACTCTTTGGAAGCAGATCAACTTGGGTTTGAAGCTTACCTCCATCTCTAAGCTGCTCTGTGACCTTTTATCCCTGAGCCTTGGATTCCTGTCCACAAAATGGAGATCATCCATCTAACTGCTCAGGGTCATGTGCAAACTGCCTGGCCTGGAGCTGGGCACAGAGGGCAACTCCTGTCCTGGTGAACACACGGCCCCAAAGTCAGCGGTGCTGGGGCCTCTGCAGAGTAAGTGGGCTGGCTTCCCCTCCAGGATCTTCACTCTGGACTGCCAGGATTCAGCTTTCTGTCCCCTTCTCTCAGGTCACGATGAAGGCCGAGGCTCTGGATGGGCTGCCAAGAGGACCCCACGGGGCTGGAATCGAAGAACTCGAGAGAGCCCTGGGCAGGGGCTGGAGCCAGACAAGACCCAGCTGAGCCAGGACCTGGGCGGGAGCACCCTGGCCATCGACACGCTGTCAGACAACAGGACCAGGGTGGTGGTGAGTGCTGCAGGGATGTGGAGGGGGAGGGCTGGGAAGGAGTTGGGTCTCTAGGTGCCTCAGGTGTATTTGCCAGACCTGAAAATCACATATCTTTTGGGGTTGGCCCTGCAGGTCAGAGTGGAGAGAGGGATCTCAGGGGAAGGGTATGGAAGCAGAGCACAAACTGGGTCATTAAATCATAGCGTCTTGGAGCTTCACAGGCTGCCTACTTCCTCCTGGACAGAGAGGGAAAGCAACTTGCTCCAGGATGCACAGCCTGGCCACATGGTCCTAACGCTGGACTCTTCCATGGCCTGGGGAAGAAAAAGCTGGAGGTGGCATTATTAGTTACATCCCAGCTGTCAACTCGGCTCCTCCTCCTCCCCATTTGGACAGACTGTGGGACCCAGGGCTGGTTGTGGGGGGAATGCTAATGGCTGCAGAAGCATAGACTGTTTAGCCTGAGGGCAGGTGCTTTTTCTTTGGGGGGGTGAGGCAGTAGAGAAACTATTTGGGGTGCTGCTTTAGGAGAGGACCCCCTCTGGAGAAGTTCTGAGGGAGGAGGTCCAGGACAGGACCACGGCTTGGAGGAAGTCTTTGCAGGCTGTCAGAGGCCGATGGAAACCTCTGTGTATCTGGGCACATCTGTAACCCTACATTTCTGGTACATTGCTCTCCCGTGACCTGTGTGGGCTGTTGGTGAGTGTCTGGGATATGTGCGTATGCGACCGAGTATGCCCAGGCCTGGTGTGGGCACCTGTGATTGGGAGTGAAGAGGGTGGATTCTCAGGACGCAGAAATACTACAGGAGGAGGGACAGCGAGAGGACGTGCTTCTCGGAATTGATTTGTTTGCTTTATGTTTTAGTAACTGTTTTCTAATTTTTTGAGATTTTTGTTATAGGGCATGTGCATTCACCACAGAGACAGAAAGCGAGAAGTCACTCCCCGGGGAGATGGCCACACTGCAATCCCTTTTCATTCTCCTCTCAGGATTTTGGACATGCATGCACACACGCCCAGCGTGAGTGGTAGGTCGCCAAGTCCAGGACTAGAACTGCGGTCAGCTGTGCGGGAGTCCAGTGATGTAACCATTCCTCCATCTGCTGGTCCCTTAGTAACTGTTTTCTAAATCAGTACGTACTGATGTCAGAAAGGTCAAAGAGCGCTAAAAGTGTAAAGCGGAGCAAGCAGTCTTGCTCCCTTCTCCTGCGGACCACTCACCCCTTCCTCAGAAGGAGCCACCTCGGGCTGCTTCTCCTGGTGTTTGCTTCCATATTCCCAAACACTTTGCTTATGTGGCCACTTCTTGATGAACTGGTTTTAGACATCCTGTGTTGACTGCGTGGTGTGGTAGGTGAGATTCAGCTTTTTGAATTCCCCGAGTATTAGTTTACTTTCTCTCAATCTTTTTGTCTTATCCATATGCAATGTTGTATCTCATTGTTATCAATATTGAGATATACTCCTAAATAAATACTGGCTCCATTCATCCTAACAGGGTAATTTTTTTTTTGTATAATTTAAATTTTTCCTGGATTTTGCCCTGCCCCTGCTTTGAACTTAGTAGCTTGTGTGACTTTGAGGTTGCATTTTCTTTCTTTTCTTTTTTTTAGAGAGAAAGATTTTTGTTATAGGACATGTGCATTTGCCAGAGAGACAGAGAGAGAGAAAGTGAAAAATCACCCCCCAGGGGGGATGGCTACACCACAATCCCTTCTCCTCCATTCTCCCCTGGGGGTCCTGGGCACACACGCACAGGCACCTGGCATGAGTTTAAGCCACTGGTGCAAGACTCGAGCCGCAGTGGACTACGTGGGAGTCCAGTGACATGGTCATTACACCTGATCTGCTGGTCCCCAAGGCTGCATTTTCTAACTCATCCATTGGCCTCAAATATTAGTATAATCTTTGGTGTAGTTAAACCTGCCAATTCCTTTTTCCCCTGGAAACCTCTCTCCTGTCAGTCTGTTCCTACCTGACTGCCTAGTGCCACCATCCCGGGGCCTCCCTGCGCCTTCATCCTGGGAAATCCCCTGTCCCTCCCCTCTGTCCCATTCCCTGTTCCCTTGAGCCTGGGTCTTCAGTTTCCTGCATCACTGCCTTGTTATTTAGTATCCTGGGGACATCTGCACAGGAGGAACGATTCTCCTGAGAACTGGCATGTCTGAAAATGCCTTAGTTCTGAATCCTCATTTGATTGGTGGTTTGGCTAAATGTAGAGTTCTTGATTAAAAATGATTTTCCTTCAGCAGTTTGGAGAAATCGCACCAATGCCTTCTGGCTTCTAACGTCACTGTTAAAAGAGTTTTGGTGGCATTCTCGCTTCTGATCTTCAAATAGAGCTGTTGTCCCTGGCTCGTGGAAGTTTCCAGCATGTTCCCTGCAGCCAGGCATTCTGAAATTGCAGTGGTGTACCCTCCTCTGGCTGTTTTCTTCCACCAGCCTGACACTGGTGCATTGTTTCAGTCTGGAGATATATTTTCATTGGTTCTGGAAAATTGTTCTGCTCTTTCTTTCTTTCTTTTTTTTTTTTTAGAATTATTTATTTAATTTTTAAGTTATTTATTCATTGATTTTATTTTGACCATAGAAAGACACAGAGAGAAAGAGGGGGAAAGTGAGAAAGCAAGCCACTGGGTTCAAGATTCAAACCGCGGTCAGCCATGTGGGAGTGTCCAGTGCCTTAACCACCACACCACCTGCTGATCCCCTGCCTTATTTCTTTCATAGTTCTCTCCCTACCATATTCTCTCTCTCTTTTTAAATTGCCGTAGTGTGTGTGCATGCATGCGTGTCATCATGCGGAGAGAGAAGGAAAGTGAGAAACCAGTCCTGGGGGTGGCCATGCCGCAGTCCCTTCTCCTCCCTTCTCATCTTGGGATTTTGGGCTCATACATGTACAAGGCATGTTTTCAAGTCAGCCAGTCCAGAAGTTGAACCTCTGCAGTTGGCCATGTGGGACCCAGCCATCTTAACCACAACGCTCCCAGCTGGCCCTCTTTTGGATTTTTGTTATTTGTTAGTTTGATCATTATTGTTATTATTCCACTTTCTGGGAGATTTTCAACCTTATTTTTCATGTTACTGATTTTTTTCTACCATCACTTTTAATTTCTAAGAGTTCTTTGCTCTTTATTTTTCAATTTATTAGTATTTTCTTTGATCATCTTATTATTTTCTTTTTATAAAAAAGCCTTTTGTTCTTGCATCATGCTCATAATATCCTCTCTCTGGGGACACTGAACAATTTTTTTGAGATTTTTTTGTTTCCAGTTATCCATATCTTTTCTCTCAGGTACTTTTTAAATTTTGCTATGGGGTACGTGCGCTCGATGGAGAGAGAGAGACGGAGACAGAAAATAAGAAATCACTTCCCGGAGCGATGGCCACGCTACAATCCCTTCTCCATTCTTCTCTCGAGATAGTGGGCATCACGCACATGTGCCCAGCATGAGTTTTGTTTTGTTTTGTTTGTGTTATTTATTTATTTACTTATTTGGAGAGGTTTTTGCTATATGGTGCATTCACTCGCCAGGAAGACAGAGACTGAGAGACAGAAAGCGAGAATTCACTCCCCAGGGGAAATGGCCAACCCGCAATCCCTTCTCCTCCATTCTCTCAGGATCTTGGGCATGCACGCACACATGCCTGGGTTGAGTTTCAGCCACCGGGCGTGGGGCTCGAACTGTGGTTGACTACATGGGAGTTCAGCGACATAGCCATTACACCAAGTGGTGCCTAGCATGAGTTTTAAGTCATGGAGTCTGATACTGGAACAGTGGGTGACTCTGTGGGAGTTCAGTGTTGTAACCATTATGCCATCTGCTGGTCTCTCTCTCAGGTACTACAAGTGAGATTCTGTTTTTATTTAAAATTATAAGATTTTTTTCATTAAAATAGTGTCAATTTTTGCACTAATTTACATTTTTCAAAAGAATTATTTTATTTTGTATTGTTATTATTATTAATTTGATCAGAGAGAGTAATTTAATCAGAGAGAGAAAGATAGAGAGAGGGAAAGTAACAAAACAAGCCACCAGGTCTGGGACTCAAACTGAAGTCTGCCATATGGGAGTCCAGTGCCTTAACCACAGTGCCACCTGCTGGTCCCCTAATTTGAATTTTTTAAAAATATTGCATTAAAATTTAAAAAATCTTGATTCCTAAGTTTTTTAGTGCCGACTTACACGTTGCCCTGAGTTAAGTAAGTTCCTCCCTTGCTTCAGCCAAGCCCTGGCTTCGAGGTGGTACCTCAGAGAATACAGCCGCACTTATTTCCCATTCGGCTCTGTCTCGGCAACCCGCAGAACCAAGGGGCAGGGCCGTCA